TTACATAACATCAGTCACACGAATCTAAAAGAAGACATTATCTCTCAGACCATGTGCATGGAGACACAGAGGCTGTACAGAGGTTGTACATCAGGGTTGTCATCAGGGTTGTAAAAAAAACAATACCTAGATACTAATCGATACTAAAACTAGAATCAAAACTAGACTCATATAAACAGGACAAAATAGGACCTTGAATGATCATGGGCTTTCAGAACTGCCATTAGTATTATACAGTACAAATGGTAATACTAAAGAAATGACCATTTCAAATTCAAAATGAATTATTTAGCCTAAATAAAATACAGTTTTCATCATCATTGTGGTATTGAGTATCAAGTCAGTCTTCAAAATGTTACTGGATATGGGACTATTATAGATTTATTGAGCTGTCATTTTTGTGCTTAAATGTAGGTTCATTGTTTTAGCTGTGTGCTCTTAACATTGTGTATCCTCTAGTCTCTAGTCTCACACACACGACACACACAGCATACACCTATAGCATCTCATTCTCATGGAGCGCCTGACAGCTGGGCGGCTGCATGGAACACAGGCTTCAGTGAAGGTGGCCCTCTGTACGTGTCCCGCATGAAGACAACACATTGTCTAATTGCTTTGCTCCAAACGGCTGGAGGTGTGGCTTGGGCTGCACTGCTCAGTACGGAGGGAACACTGACGGCCCCATCTTGTTAAATCAGCACCCTGACCTTTGACCCCTGCTCCCACACATGGACATGGCCCTGTGCTAACGCAGTCCGGCACAGACTGTGCAAAGACACGCCCCACACAGAGGCACAAAGCATCTATCTCTGCCACAGCCAGGTGATCTGCAGATGACCCCAATCATCAGAGAAGGAGAGAAACTGTTCCAGCCTCACCGCCCCTCGCCAACACTTTACTGCTGCCTCCATTGTAACCGTGACGACGCGGCTTTGGAGGGGGACCGCCTGTAATAGAGTCCAGGACGGTGCAGATTAAAAGTACAAATCACATTGTAAACGACTGAGGCGAATCACACTCAGTTACCTCCATCGAAGAGAGCAGAATGAAACTGCAGGGCATCCTTATTTCCAGTCTCACAGCGTGACCGACCTAAGAAAACAGATAAGAAAGGATCAAAAGAGCGACGGACTGCACTGTGAGGGATATTAACCAGGTGCACAGCTTTGAGCACATGGCCCTCAGACTCGCCTTTCCTTTCTCCTTCAGACAGATGGAAGGGGGTCGAGGTGCCACTCTAATGAAGTTAATTTACCCTGGAGCTGTCTCTGGTGGTAGGAGCAAAGTGGTATTCTCTGTCTGCTCTGCTCTGCTCACACCACACACGACTTCTCCTGCTGAATCAAATGTCACATGGACTGATGAGCGCCACCTACTGATCCATGAAGTTCAGCAGACATAGTCCCTAGAGAGAGCAGGTCTTAAAATAACGCCGTGTTCAGACAGAGCGTAATCTCAGCAAGCCTCCACCATGGACCCCGGAGCACACGCGGAAGGTCAACCGTCAAAAGTCACAGATTAGTCATTGAAATGTGAACCGCATGAAGAAAAAAAAAACAACCACAAGTCAATGTTGAGATCCAACCAGCACAGAGGTCAGACACACAGGTGAGTCCTTATTGACTGTAGAGTACAGGAGGGTCCCTCTGCTCTCTCTAGGACACAAGGGACCGTTGTCTGGGGTTAGGACAGCTGGATGTGAGTGGACTGAAGGTCTGGACTCTGATCAGAACAAAGCGTCTCTACAGAAGCTCTCTACGCTTGAGTGCCATCAGAGGCCTGGTGACACATCCAAGTCCTCCATCCTTCCACAGTCCTTCTCATCGGACATGCCACACTGAGTGTGCATTTAAAGTTCACTCTGTCAGATTTCATTTGTAGCTGGTCTCAGATGGATCGCTGCTTTGATGACTGAACTGCAGGCTTGATTGTGCTGCTCTTCTCAAGCTGATGGAACTGAAATTGAAAGCCATTGGGGAATACGTCCAGAAACGACTGCACCTCCTCAGTCATTCATGTGCAGTAGCTATAAAAGCTTACATTCACAACATCATCTGTTAGGTTACATCCAAGTGCTAAGAGCGTGCAGCCAAAATGTTAATGCACTCTTGTGCCACTGGAGCTGATGGAGCTCACTGTTCATGCATATGCATATGGCACTATCCCGCTCAGAAGTCCCAGCAGCCCCTGCTCTCACCCGGTGCTTTCACAAACTGAAAAAGCCCAAGTCTGTGACAGCACACGTGACACTGAGAGAGACTTTGATGAGACCAGTGCTTTTACCAGCCTCTTTTGTTACTGTGAGAGAATCACGCCTTACAAGATAAATCATGCAGCTAGCAGACGGCTTAGACTGTGTACAACTAGATAAGGTTGCCAAGGAAACCCTCCTGGAGAACCAATGAGCATGCTTTTCCATACCAACCTCCTTGATCTGTGCAAACAATTAATACCTTGGGCAGGCAGAGAGGGAGAGGTGGAGGGAGGGAGATGGGGGGGGGCAGCTATGGGAGGCAAATCCCCAGGTGCTTAACACGACATCATCATGTGAATGAGGATAGAGACGTCACAAATGGAGATTGGACCCACGACACAGGGAGAGGATGTATGAATCAATTTATTCAATGAGGGGACATTTAACATTAGTGCATGAATCTAATCTGTACACACTAATGTTCTTATAATAAACGTTTTGAATGCGTTGCCATAAAAGGACCATTATATCTCTCCATATTCATTTGTGGGGCAGTTGTGATTGCGCTGTATCTCTGCAGCTGTACAAACCAGGTTCATAATAGAACTCCCAATGTGCAGAGCTGGTGGGAAGCCATTAGAGCAGTGAGTGACTCGGACCAGCCACAGATCAATGCTCTAGGGCCCTGTCTATTACTGACATCCAATTATAGCTATGGACGTCCCATTTAACACTGCAACTAAGTGCTTTAGTCTCTTTATTGACGAGCTGTCAGCTGCGTGCACACACTGGAGCTATTGGCTAATAATCAGCTATTGATCCATCCGTCTCAGGCTTATTGTCAAGTTGTTTGGTAAATACAATATTAGAATCACAACCATAGCGTGCACTTGTCCAAATTTTATAATTAGAAATTGTCAGTCTCTACTGAGCTAAAGGTGAACGGTGGCTGACTAATAATACAGGGTTATTCAAACATGTGAATGAAACAAAACACAACACCAGGTCTGTTTTTGATGTAGTAACAACATTCTAACATGATCTAAATCTCACAAGAGAGAATTTTGCCTTTAAATTTGGACCTTTAAATTTGTAATTAGTACAAACTACATGCACATTATCTACCAGAAAAACAAAAAAAACAAAAAAAACAATTGAAAAAGATAAGAAAAAGATGGGAGACATAGATAATATAAATAATGCAATAGACTTACAGCGCTTTCCAAGACACTCAAAGCATTTCACAGTGCATTATTCAGTCACTCCACACTTCTCCATACAACTTCTGTAGCCATAGCTGCCCTGAGGTCGGGCGACAGAAGTGAGGCTCCAAATCTGTGCCACTGGCCCCTCACAACACCACACAAACTTATGCAACACATGCATACCAGGCAAAATGGGAAAGAAATATACAAAAATAAATAATTGTATTACTATATTTGTATTTTATTTTATTTGTGCATATACATTTGTGTAATTATGCCTTATTTGTCAGTCGCTTGCTATATTTGCTACAAATTTACACTTTGTTTTTATATGATATTATATTATATTGTGAAGAGTGAGCTACTGTGGCCAAACAATTTCCCTTGTGGATCAATAAAGTTAGTGTAAGTCTGAATGTAAGTGAGTGAAGTGTTTGGCCTAAGTCTTGGTGTTTCCAGCCGTCTCCCATTCAAGTATTAACCAGGTCAGCTTCCGAGATCAGACGAGATGAGGCACTGACGAGCAGGTATGATGCTACATTCACTCGTGCACAGTGAGGAGAGAGGAGGGAAGGAGAGGAGAGGGGGAGAGGGGAGAGAGAGAGAGAGAGAGGAGAGAGAGGAGAGAGAGGAGGGAAGGAGAGAGGAGAGGGGAGTGGATAAGACACACAGGAGGAGAGGGTGTGTATGTGACCAGGTTAAACACCTCTGCATGTTTATACTGGGTTGAATGAACAGCATTGGTGTTGGCAGGCCATGACTGTGGCTGCCGGCTTCATTGATTAATTACAGTCATTAAGCTGTTAGAAAGTCACCTGACCTGGTGTAAGGGCGCCACTTCACCGCTGATTACAATTAATCACATTCAAGATGCTGGGGTTAAGGTCTCCAAGGAGCCAGCCCCGCTAAAGACCAGTGGCGGAAGAAGTACTCTATTTTGTCACTTAAGTAAAAGTAAATAAAAAAAAAAAAAAAACTTAAGTAAAAGTATTAAAGAACCTGTTTAAAATGTATGTTAAGAGTAAAAAGTGTTAGTACAAGTATTTCGAGCAGAATTTGAGATCTAATAAGGTTTCAAATGCAGGGATTTTTATATAGATTTATGCTGAATTTTCTTCAGCAGAAAAACCTTAACAATTTTTTCCCCATAGCTGTTTTTATTTGTATATTTTTGTTTGCTCAATCTATAACCTTAATGAAAAATAAAGAAGTACAAAGGCAGAAAGTACAGAGGGCTGCTCTCAAATGTAGTCAAGTAAACCTAAAAAGTACATAAATACAGATACCAACAATTTTTACTTAAGTACAGCACTTCACTACTTTTACATTGTTATGTTCCATTTTTGCTAAAGACTAAAGCAACAGCATACAGGACTTAATGGCAATGCTCACATGCACATCAAAATATGATTATTACAGTGTCTGATTTCTGGACATTTAGGATTACTTAAAGGAAATGCAAACTGTAAAATTTGAAGGGCCATGATCAGACAGAAATTTGTTAACATGTCATTTGAATCTTTTATAACTCAAAAAATCTGATAATAACCTGATTTTGAGTGTGCATGTTTGTCAAACTGAGAGCTCCTTCAGGTGGGACGTGGACGGCTCTTCAGTTTGTGAGTTTGTTTAAAGTAAATTTTATCCACTTTTCAGTCCTGCTTTAGTTCATGTCTCGTGTATAATACAGTGGAAATGGTGTTGTAGATTCACTTTTAGACCTGGTTTAACCCTAGATTAGACCTGGAATAGTCCTTTTATAGACCTGGTTTAGATCATGGTGGTACTTTGTGCAAAAAGTTTGTCATAAATTATTTATCAATGCCAAAATATTTATTTTCAATTTCTCATTTTTATTTAAAAATACAGCACAAAAATACACAAAAGGAAAAAGAAAAAAAAATCGCAAACCTGAAGGATATCTCCCTTACAATAAAAGCACACAGATTCAATAGCTACAGTTAATATTGTTAGTAATATTTTGATGTTCAGAGCTGAGAGGGACCCCTTAAGTGTTTGCTAAAATTTTATAACCAGGAAAAAGAAAAAAACGTGAAGTTATGACAGCAAACCATCTGCTCTACAGTAGCTTCATTAACATCAGTTACACGGTACTGACTATCGGATGCCAACCTTTCTTTTCCCGTTGCCAAGCACAGCACGGCAACAAGCATGAATACACAAAATAATTCTCATTTCATTTAGCTGCGTTGAAATTAGTTCAGTGTATACACATCTTCAAATTACAATTGTGGACAAAACATTTCTGTAATAAAAAGTATATAAGTAAAAAAAATTATAATAAAAAGCTTTAAAACAATGGTGGATAAGAATGAGTGGGCGGGGTGGGGAAAGTAAACCTGAACAAAACCAAGTACAGTTGAATAATTTGTGACAAAACTGAACCAGGAAAAAAGGCACAAGAAAAGTCCAGCTATGAAGGTCTGGCTGTGAGGAGTCCAGGAATAAGGATAAACAAGAGTAAGGCTAAAAAAGGATCAGAATAAGGCGAAAACTCATGGGTTACTCAGTGCTTCAGTTCAGATTGAGTACAATATATCGATTAGAAATGCCCATTGCCCAACTCCAGATGGTGTGAATACCAGTCAAATGTTTGGACAGACCCTTTCATTTCAACTTTTTGTCTTTATTTTCATGACTATTTACATTGCAGATTCTCAAAACTATGAATGAACTAATGTAGTAAATAAAAAAGTGTGAAATAACTCTTCAAAATAGTCACCCTTTGCTTTGATCACTGTTTTGCACTCATGGTATTCCACTAACAAACCCTGATAAGCCAGACCTGTTCGGCAAAAACCATTTCAGGAGAATTCATCATGAAACTCATTGAGAGAAGGTCAAGGCTTTGCAGAACTGTTGACAAAGCAAAGGGAGGCCACTGTGAGGAAACTGAATCTAAAATATAACATATTTAGAGCTATTTTACTTTTTTTCCCTTTACTTTATAATTCTATACACCTTCTATACACCTTACAATGCAGAAAATAGAAAAACATTGGACACAGTTGTGTCCAAACTTTTGACTGGTAGTGTATATGGCACATTAAAATGATAAAAAAGACATATTTAGTTTGTTAGCCTTTTTCTATTAAATGTAATATTTGGTCACAAGTTGCATATTTGATTTCAAAACTGAATGATCTCACTAAAAATTTTGAGTTAACTTAAAGGTGCATTATGTAACTTTTTGGTCGGGGGTACGTCACCTGCTTGTTTCTATCGATATGTCATCGCTCTGCCTGGGATGTTCCACAGTATTACAATAAACCGATTTACCTTACATTTATTCAATTACAGGGAGTTTAATACCAAGAAAAAGAGGCATTCTGACTGTGAAGGGGTTGCCTCTGCACAGATCTAACCTGTAATTTGGTCTGGTTTGGTCTCCTTGAAGATACAAAGGTTGAATACTATGAAAAACATTTTAACCAAAGCAATAACATCTCCTCAACAAAAGCATTTGATGGACCCTGCACCAGAAAAGTTACACAATGCACCTTTAAACGTCCCCTCCTTATGGTCAGTTATGGATTGTGGTCAGTGGACAGTCAAACTCAATCACAGGAGATTGCTCAATGAACTCTAGTGTCCTCCATCTGGCCTCATTATTTTCGGCTCAACCTTTCAAAATCTGGGAGGCTGGAACGGGTAGGAGCTGGTATAATGGTGTAATGTGCCCACTCAAGTGACAAGAAGTAATCCCCCAATTACAAGACTTGTAGCGTGAACCGCCCCTTAACTAACAGCCAATCAAATCGCTTAGAGCCTCAGGAGAATTATTTGAACAGTTAAATCAACGTCTGACCAAACAAGTCCAAGGAATTAATAACAAATGTCAACTTAAAAGTGCACTGTGTAACATTTCTAGGGTTTCACCATCTGCTTGTCTCCATGGAAATGTTATTGTTTTGTCCAGAATGTTCCACGGTATAGATTAAACCTATTTATTACAAAGGGGGACAGCACCATGCCACGTTACAATTCAGATCTGTGGAAAGTCGCCCCCATCAGAGGTGGGACCAAGTCGTCGTTTTACAAGTCTCAAGGCTTTGATCTCAAGTCCAAGTCAAGTCCCAAATCAAATACAGGCAAGTCCAAGTCGAGTTTAAAGTCACTGGCCCATAAGTTGAAGTCAAGTCCGAGTTAGCTTCAGTTTTTGCAATTTATTTGAATTTTAAGATAAATTTTACTTTACTTACTTAAGTATTTATATAAGGATAGCAGAAATACTAATTTTTCCTTTTTAAATGTCTTGACAAGATCTTAGAGTGAATTATTACAGTCAGAACAGAAATAATTCTGATTTAAAAGTGTTTCTCAAGTCTTTTGAAGTCACAGGCCTCAAGTCTAAGTCTGAAGTCACTGACCTTCAAGTCCATGTCAAGTTCGAAGTCTTAGTCCATTTTATCAACTCAAGTCTCAAGTCCTAAAAATAGTGACTCAAGTCTGACTCGAGTCCAAGTCACGACTTGCAAGTTCCCACCTCTGGCCCCAATTTACAGAAGGAATTGTATTTTTGAGCAATACTAACGCTCGTAAAGAAGAAATGCTAGACGGATATGTTTAAAGTCATGCCATGGAACATTCCAGGCAAAGCAATAATCTCTCCATGAAGACAAGCAGGTAGTAGTGGACCCTCCACCAGAAAAGTTGCGCAGTGCACCTTTAACATATAATGGTAACTAATCGGTGTTCAGGCATTCACAAGAATAGCTTTCATTGTTCATTCACACACACACACACACACAGATCTATATGTACAAACACATGCATACAGCTGTACAGTCGGCCAATTAAAGGGCCTATCTGATGAACACACTGCAACTTTACAGCAAGGAGGTCTATTAAAAACAACATGCATTCATTTATGTACAATTGTATTTGTATATCTGGAGTATATCTACTTCAATTTAATCCATTAAGTCCACAAAGTAAATTCATAAAAAAGGTTCATGTGCCCTGTTGTGATCCAGTAGAGCACGTTTAGACCCAGGTCTTCATCTGAGGAGAGACTTCCCATTTGTAACTTCAAATTCATTATCTTCATTGGCCATGTCAGACTTCAATACATCCACCTGTCCTCTGCATAGTCTTGGTGAAAAATGCTATGCTAGACAATAGACCCGTCCCTATTTTGGGCCGGGATCATGACAGGTATACCCCCCATACGGCTGATGTTGGGCCCCGCCATCCTGGAGACGGTGGGAGGGGGCAGGGGGTTGTGGCTGGGGGGTCTATCATACTCCTCCGTAGACGGGATCTTGTCGTACTGAGGTTTGACGTACTCGTGGAGGTTTGAGGGCGACATGGAGCCCAGAGATGAACGCTGGCTGCCCACGGTGAAGCTACGAGCGGTAGAGACCCGGCTTTTAGGGGGTGGTACATCCTCTCTGAAAATGCAAAGAAAGAGATGTTAGACTATGTTCTGGTTCAAACTCAAACCACTTTATTTCTATAGCACATTTTATAAACAAAACAGTTTCCAAAGTACTGCACATATAAAGATAGCATTAAAAACAACAACAGGTATTCAAAATAACAGTAAAAATGCTCAATTTAACCTTGCCATGCTTAAAACACTAAAACCAATAAAGAGAATTAAAAGCAAACCCATAAAAATAGCAATAAATAAAAACAAAATCAATAAAATAATATTAACATTTAAATAAAATAAATTAAAAACACAAAGGAACATAAAGCTTACAGGGTGGTTTATCAAAGCTACATGCACAGATTTGGAAAAGGTTTTAAGATACTCAGATAATTAACTAAATAATATTCAGTACAAGACGGTCAACACAGCAGAGTAGGAGTAGGATATAAACTGACTAAATGTGAGAAGTAGACTATAAAAAAATTATTGGAATTGTATTTTATAGTCGTGATCGTTAACTGGACTATACAGTCTATAAAACACATCCCCAAAACCTTTTATAACAAAGACAGTGGGATTATTTCATTAAAATGTCAAAAAGGAATAAACTATGTGGCATTTTCAGACAAAACTTTATGTTCTTGAAGCCTTTGGTCACTATATTTCAACTTGATTTGGTTAAAAAGGCAATTCAAAAATCACAAAGTACTGGAAAAACAACTGCTAAAAAGTCAAACTAAAATAATAATGAGTTGCCGCCCTATTGCACAGATTTGTAAAGGTTTCAAGAAAATCTGATATTGACAACATAAAATTTAGAAAAGAACAGTAAACACAAAGAGGAGAATAACTTGCATGAAGTATATTTGGTGTAAGACATAACATAATTTGACTAACTAGACTAATAACTCTATTGTGGCTGCTTATTTTTACACTTGCACCAAAAATTCAGACCATAACGTGACTTCTGGACTTTTATGATGATTTAAATGACATCCAAAATGACAAATCTGATGTGAGTAATGAGAAAGAAAATTATTTTGCTGTATACATGCCATTTTAATAGTCTTATTACTAATTACTTACTACTAATAACTAATAATTATCAGACATGTGTATGTGCCCACAGCCAGTTCCATCTGTTGTGAGTAATCTGATTTACTGCACATCCAGATGCAGGTTTTGACAAGGAGTTAATTTAAAATTTGTTGTACTTTATATATTCCTATTTACCTAATACTATTTATTCAACTAATTACTGGTTTATCTCATTATTCCAGTTATCTGATTTTGACTGGCCAGTGTCCAGTCACAGGCCTGTATCCAGTCACTGCACAGAGCGCCCAAACACGACGTGCCCTCTGCTCCCTCTGCCACCACATTAAGAGCTAATAAGCAGTAATAATCCCGTTAAACGCTTGATCAGATGGAGCCGAGGGCAGAGCTGTGCTGTTGTGAGTCTGTTTATATACAGTCTATGGCGTGTACGAGACAGGGCCACTGCACTATAATCCTCTTTGTCCCGTACTGTTCGCGGAGCCACAGTGGTCTGGTTAGGGCTGAACATTTGGAGAAAAGATCTAATTGTAATTTTTTCTGGCAGGAATTGTAGCAGCAATTTTAAGTAGATGTGCAGTTTATAAAGATTAACTATCTGAATGAGTCAAGAATTTACAAAAATATTTGAATATGAACTGACAAACTAATACAAGAATCACAATCAGAACATGTTTGTACAGATCTAAACTACAGGGTTAGCAGATATATTGTTATTTATCAAGGAAATTACAGTAAACAAAAAACTGAACTGATCATTGTACCACTTTTAATGTTTAAATCTTTCTCTACACTGGTTTTATCTTTACTCTATTGCTCTTTTGACTGTTTTAATATTTGTTTTGTTTGTAAAGTGTCCCTGAGTGTCCTGAAACGGTCTATACAAATAAAATGTGCTATTATAATTAATCTTGCAGCCCCACATTTAGCCATCAGCTCAGGGTTAGTCCAGGTCCGTCACAGAGGGAGGGGAAGGGTGGGGGGTGGGACGCAGCCAGCCCAGACATGACACACAATCCACAGCGCAAACAAAGCTCTCAAACTGATTACTACAGCTGTTTATTTGAGAAGGGGTGAATGGCAAAAATGCTGATGGTGAAGAAACATTTTAGTGGCTGCTGGGGAAACTGGGGTCAAGAGCACCCTCACCAGTCAACTTCTATTTTTATTCGAAGAGGATGGGCCATATTGACAAAACTGAATACTTCAACATTCATTTATCTATTTAAGTTTTTTTTTTTTTTTTTTTGCATTTTCTCATAAGCGACATTCACATATTTTCACAATGCATCAGGAATATGCAAAAATCAGCCCGCAAGTGTCTCTGATGAGGTTCAAGTATCACACAAAACATGAATGGACCATAAATTAACAACAAAAGAGCTGAAATATCACTTGGTTTATTATGCTGAATGTTTTTTTTTTTACAGACGTTTTTTCAATTTGATCATTTTAATCATAGACGATATACTAAATAATAATCTTTTTGCACATTTCCAACAACAATTGCAATATCATCATGTTTTATACATCTCTATTTTAATTCCTTATTTTATGCATGCTTTTTACCTTATCACAGTTAATATTTTACAATTATTATTAAAAGTTTTATGTTTTTTTGTTTTCTTGTTAAACACTAAAATTGATAAAAAAAAAAAAAGAAAGTTTTATGTTTATATCATCCCAGCTCATTCCTAGTTTGTGAATTGTGTTCACTGACAGCAGTCGTTAGAGCCACAGCGATCATTTTTATTGGCAAATAAAAAAGCAATATTCCAGGCTGTTTTGGAGCTCGTACCTGATCTCGTTGCAGATTTCCTTCTCGTACTTCTTTCTGTGACGCGCACGGCAACAGCAAAACAGGATGATTGCAATAATGAGGAGGAAGAGCAGCACTGCGATGATGGAGCTCGCCACGATCCCAGCCGTGTTAGGAGCTTTAGGAAAAACAGGAGAACTTATCTCAACAAAGGCATATCTCAGAATAATGAAGAAATGTGCCGTTTTGTAGTGTGGCATAGTTATGAACTCTTTCCAGTTGAGTTGAGTATTATAGAAAGTAATAATGTTACATTAAGTGTTAAAAAGCCTAATAATATAACCTATTATTCAGCCCAAAAAGCATTAGTAAGTAATAATAAGTAATAGTAATAAAAATGCATGAAAACAAGGTTAATTATGTTTAAATAAATGATCAAAATTGTTCTTTTTAGCTGTGCATAACAAAAAGTTGTGTATTCTGTACTTTACAAACTGTGCTATACAAATACAGTAAACTTGCCTTGCCTAATTAAAAATGAATCTTTAGCACATTAGTCCAGAATGTTCTATTCTAAGCAAATGTGCCTGTGGTTACTCTGTACCATACACCTTTACAAATTCAAATTTCAAAAGTTTATAGTCAATTCTTCATACGAAACATATGAAAAATCGAAGAATCAAATTTCAGCATCTTGAAAAACAAATTTAAAAGGTTTGCAGTTTGAAACAACTTGATTTAACAGTTTAAGTTTAAGTTATTTAGATCTGCGCAAAAGACTGATTTAAAAATGCTACTAAAATGAAAAAACAAAGCAAACAAAAAACAGTAATAACTAAGGATATAACAATATCCAAATCTCACGGTGCGATATTTATTGTGATATTTTGAAGGGGCTAATATAATCATAGATGGAACACTTTTTTGTTTTTAAAATACCTTGACAAGATTATGATGTGAATTATTTCCATCATCCCATAATCCCAAGAATTCAAGTAAAAAACATATTTCTTCATGTCGTTTGCACTGAAATGAATCATGTGATATGTAGTTCCATATGTTTACAAGCTGTTGCTACTATAAAACCATGCATTTAAGCAAAGGAACTTGTAATTTTACGTATATTGTGACAGTGCATGATATTATTGTGAGACTTTTGATGATATGACAATATCACAATATTTTGGTTACGGTTACATCCCTAGTAATAACGAGTCATCAAGTAGTGTCATGTGCACTTTATACATAATTGTACATGAGTAAAATTTGAGCAACACTTCTAATTGTGTACATTTTTAGCCATGTGAATGTACTTTTACTTAAGTAGAGATTTTCAGTACACTCAGATTTCAGATGACATCACATTATTTTATAGGCCACTAATACAGATGGAAGGCATGTAAAATGAATATAGTTCAAATACAGATATTTGTTGTAATACAGTGAGTTCTTGGGTCTAGTGACTAATAGAAATGATCAGGTTCAATGTAATCAATAGGGAAAACCGGCACTTGCCCCCCATCTGGGAATATGACTTAATCACATTGTAGAATTTGAAAACCACCAATAATACACGTGAAATTGTCATAAAAAGGACCACCAGTGCTAAAGATCTACACACAGCAGACTGGTCCACCTCTGTGCAGTGTCCCGGGATACTTACGAGGCGTCACATTAAGTTGCATCACACATTCGTCACTCCCCACAAGGTTGCTGGCAGTGCAGCGGTAAGAGCCAGATGCGCTAGCAGATGCGTTTTTGACAATGATGGTTCCTGCATCTTTATCTGCAATGAAAGTGAAGAGCAAAAGCATTATTAGAGTGGGAGTTGGAGGTCTGTGTTTAAAATAGGAAAATAATAAGATTCTAAAGAGTCAACTGATTAAAGGGTCCATATTATGCAATTTTCTGATCCATGTTATAATGTTGTTTCCTCATCAAACACACCCGTTTTATTTACAAATGTTTAACACACAAATCCTGCATATTTAGGCTTAGTTCTGCTCATTTTACATTTTTAGCTTTGGAAATGTAGACAATAATAATAATAAAGGGTTACTCAAAAATGTGTGAATGAAACAAAACAAGACTCCAGGTATGTTTTTGATGAGGTAACAACATTATAACATGGTTGAAAGCTCACAAGAGACAATTTTGCGTAATATAGGACTTTTAATATTGACATGAAGGGCTGACTTTAAGCATAATTTTATCCCTTCAGAAATATAAGGTTCTGGGTAGCTCTGAGATATTGAAGTTTAAAGTTGTGACCACTCAGAGCACAATGGAATAAAGAAATTGTGTTTTGCTCATACAAACCTAAAATTGTTTACCAAATCTCACAAAATATTGAAAAAAGTATAGAGAAATGTGTATTCAGGAACTATAACAACTACATTTTGAAAACCATATAATTATAATGGGATGATTGGTCTTTTAACTCACAAAATGCAAATGTTTTGATGGGATTTACGTTAAAGGTATACTCTGTAACTTTTTTGGTGGCAGGTCTGCTGCCTGCTGCTTAAAGGTTGTATGGAGGATTTTTTTGTTTCAAATTGTCAATGATAGCATTATAAAGGTGCAGTAGCCTTGTAATTATGATGACCAAAAAAAAGAGAATAAAAATTCATCAACTCTGGACGTGGTGGGGCTAAACATTTGCCAATAGATAACGACACTGCCTCGTTATCTGTTAGCTGACAGGCTGTCAATCAATCTCCCTACGTTTCTAGCGTAACTGACTTGCCTGCGCGCTGCCATTACGTGGTTTGCGTACGCCTGTCACGCAGTCCACAGACGCACAGACGCTGTTTACTCCACCAATGCAACAGTTCTTAGCTGCTTTTTTGACCTATATCTTCCTCGCAGTTTGCACAAAGTTTGTTGCAATGGCGACAAGAATCCAGGAGCAGTTAGCCGCAAAAGAAAGTCCGTTTTTGAGGTCGCTGAAAGAAGAAGACAAGGGGAAAAGCAGCGAAGCCAAACTAAGGTGATTCTTGTAGATTCATTCCAGCGATGGCGCAACTGAAGCAGACGCAGGGTCTAAAGACTGACGCATTGGTCGCCAAATTACTCCTGGACAGGTCACTTCTGCTTATTATGAAAACGTACTTTATTTCCAAGAGCTAGACAAACGTTTTTCAGGACACGAAAGCGATATCCTATGTCTGAAAACGTAATTTTCAAGGCAAAGAAAGAGTCCGCTTGCTGCTGCGTGTTGTAGCTAGTTCATTCGCACTGAATCTCCGCACACCTTCTCTGCACCCCTTTCCTGCTCCTGTCCCCGCTGCCCGTTCCGCTCTTCCCGCTGCTCCTCACTTCTCCGGGCACGGAATCTCCACACACCGCTCCCCTCTCCTCTCTCCTCTCCCTGCTCCGCTCTTCTCCCTGCTCCTCACTTCTCGTCCGCGCACGAAATGTCCGCGCACCCCCTCCCCCCGCTCCTCACTTCTCCTGTTGCCTAACCAACACTGTAGTTAGTTGTTTACAAGTCATGTGCAGCTCACCGGCTGTAAACAAACCTGTTTCTGGCGTAAGGAGGAGGCGGGAGGAGGCGTTTCTACGTAGGGAGCTGTAGGAGAGGGGGGGGTGGTTTCACGCATGCGCAACATTTGAAAAAGGACAAACAGTCACTGGATTTCTCGTTCCTTGGAAAATCCTCTATACAACCTTTAATGTTTTGCCTTGATTATTCCACAAAAGGGAAATACACTTTGTAATCACAGTGGATCTACGATGAACCAAGCCTGCACATGATAAGAATTCATGCTGTTAAGGTGTCTTTGAGCTATAAAACAACAAAACCTGTAACTGAACAAATGCAATGCCCTACTGTGAAACATTACAGGATAAAAATAACCAAATCTCCATGGGGAGAAGCAACCACCTTAGTTACATAGTGCACCTTTACTATCTCAAACTACCAGGGCTATAAACAAAGCAGTCTATTAAAAAGTGGTGTTCATTTTTCATTCACAAAGGCAGTTCAAAGAGACAAACAAAGCAAATTTGTGGACCAAAGTATGTCCTCAAATTCTTGAAACAATGAAAACAGCCCATTGTCTCACTGTTAAAATGTTTTACCGAGAGTGGCGGTTGCAGGCAGCAGCTTGTTCCCGCTGGTCTTCTCCCAGACGTACTGCAGTGGGTTGGTGCCCTCTTTGGAGACGCACCTCATCACGATGTCTTTGCCCTCCTGAGTGGGGCCTTCAGAGTAGCACCTGGGCCGAGATGGCTTCACTGTGGAGACAAAGAGAAAACATGTTAGCAATAAAAACAATGTGGGTCAATGTTGGGAAGAGTACTGAAAACTTATTTATTTTTAATGCCTATATCATTGTTGAATCATTGTTGTTGTTCAGAGCTTTGGTAAGTTTTGGCTCTTTTTCGTGAGCTCTATAAATGAATGTGATTTAATGATTTGAATTAATAAAGAAATTATCTAATCTATTGCTAATGATGGAGAAACATGTGTTACTATGTCTTGTCTATCATTTGAAAGGTGCAGACCATGTGTTATAGTTAAAACCTACCTCTTTATTTTATAGTATTCTACAGAGATACTGTGTTGTGCCTCTTATAGGAATACCTTGATGGCCAGGGATGCCTAATTAGAAAACTCTGATTGCATTATATAGGTTTATACATTCTTTCTTTCATTTTTCATTTTTCATTTTAATTAGTTATATAACATGAGTGGTCAGATACTTACTTGGAATATTTAAGGATTATATTTAAGGTCTAAAAACGCAACATAATTAAAACAGCTTTATGTGTGGTGCACTTATTATGCATTTATTCATTACTAATTCGAGAACGTAAAAATGCACATACACACATGGCAAGAGCTCTGTTTTCTTATATTGATCTTTATTTTAAACATAGCATACAGTCTCCATACTTACAAAGACAAGTAACTATTCTGAAAACTACCAAATGAAAGAGTAACTGTACTGGAATATTGTGCATGTAAGTAAATATTCTGACTATTCTATCATTTTCTATTCTTTATGTATTAGTAACCACCAAGATTAACAGTACCAGAGTTACTCAAGTGATTATTCTGAATACATATTTTTAGTCCATGTTTTTAGTTAGTCCCAACACTGCCTGTGGCCTCATTGTTTACTATAATAAGTAGTTGGATATTGGGGGCGTCTTTTGTTTTGTCTGTAGAAGCCATCGACATAATGAGAACGGTAATCAGAGTAATTGATACAGCTGCTGTCATTACAGAACTGTCACTCAGGATAACGGCAGGAAGCACGTCGGGTGAGCAGCAGAATCGTCTAGAAAACTCTGTGCAAATATTGGATACGTGACAGATTTTTTGAGGAGTTGAAAAACAAATAGATCTCTGAATTAAAAACAGACCACGTCCAGACAGACACACAGACAGGTAGTGAAGAAATAGAAGGTTGTCTAATACGAAGATGAAATTGAACCGCAGTACTTGTATGCAGTGAGGTAATAATGTCTTAAGAGATGTATCAGGCATCTATGTGTGTTACAATGTTAGACTTATCAAGCTTAATGTAAGGATTAACATCAGACTGGCAAACAGAAATACTAGGGTCAGAAATCTTTGTGATTTGATTTGCAATTACTGTTATGATTAGTTAGTTAGTTAGATTCAGTTCACCGCGTACACTTTAAAAGGTCCTATATTACACAAAACCCCTCATCAAAAATATGATGAGTTGTGCTGTACCAGAACAGTTGCGGGTAAAAACGACAAACTATTTTATTGGAGGTGCCTTTCGTTTAGATGGTGTTGGCATTTTTGCCTTAAAAATGCAAAAATCAGAAACCACCCTCCAGAGCGGAAAAGTTGAATACGCTCTGCCGTAGCGTTTCCGTCTACACTGTCCAAGACGCAAAACTCTGGTCAGATCTGCTCACGTCGTGTACGCGTTTACATCACATACATCACCACCTAGCGTCACCACCTAGCCGCCTACCCGCCATACCCAAATGAATTCCACACACTACTGCGTCACCGTATGCACGCAGTTTTCCTCCCGAAAATGCTCGTCTACGAAATACGGAATAAAAAGTGAAGACGTGATACCACTTTTGTGTCTTTTCTTCAGACCGTCAGGATATAAATGTAGCCTTAGTTCATTTTATAGTTCATCTTTTAGTTTCAGTTCAGCAGAGATCGGCATTTCCAGGGCTGAATCATCCAAATGATTAGTGAAAGTTTATGGAGTTTAACAGCACAGTGACTAGGGATGTGTGAAAATATCGAAATGTCGTATCGTTTAATGTGATGATACGGTACTTATATCGTGTGCTGCTGTATCGATATATTGTCAAGAGTATTTTTTTGTATATTTTAGTTAACTATTTTGTCACAGCGCTAAAGTTTTGTTGCTCGTTTAGTGAAAGGAAACTCGTTTATGTGACACATTTGACATTTGACTATTTTGGTGATTAAAATGGGACTTTTAGTATCAGCCAGGATTTAGCCATTATTTTTTATTGAACTGTATCGAATCGATTTTAAATATATCGTATCGAACCCAAAGTGCTCTGTATTGAGATATGTATTGTATTGTGCCCAATGTACTGAAATATGTATTGTATCGGCTTCTTAATGATACCCAGCTCTAACAGTGACAGTGATGCACTTCCTCCATTGTCACATGACATTACACAGCGTCTCACGTGACACATTTCAGTTTATATGAAAAAAATCTGTACACACCCTTTCATTTTACAGCTGTACTCATCTTCCTGTTAAAACATTTTAAGGATTCTGTCTCATTGAAAAGATAGAAACTGAAAAGCAGAACATTCTGATGGACAGTTTGTAGATTGATGGGGACTGAGGCTCTTCTCTGCTGTGGCATTGTACCTTCTCACAAATGTCAAAGAGCTGTGACATTTTGAATGCGTCTTTTATAAAAGGTGACTCCCCTGAACACATAGCGCCGCTGTAACACACTTCATCACACTGGGACTTGGTTATGAAACGATTTATTTGTTTGAAAGATGAGGTCAAAAAAGACAGCGACAAAGGTTCTAGGGCCTCTGGGAGATAAAGGGCAGAGAGATAGCGCTAACCTGCCTATGCTAAAACGAACAATGATTTCAGATTTATGACTTGCACGGGGCTTTGCTATAGAAACGGTGAGATAAGAGGTAATTTATAGTGGGGATGTGGTTACGCCTTGTGGTCTGAAGCAAATTGTTGAATGGTGAATATAAAGACAAGTGTAAGTGGTCACTAATGTAATGATTAACAGTACAGGATGGGGTTGAATGATTTTGGCATCATCTTTAATTGCAATTTCTCTGACAAGAACTGTGATTCGATAGATTTTAATTGTATAATTTTCTTCAAAGTTCACATTTTAAAATACATCTAGGAGCATTAAAGGTGTAACTGTGTAACATTTTTAGTGGAGAGGCCTGCCTGTCTCTATGGAAATGTTATTGCTTTGTCTAGAAGTACACATAGTATAGATTAAACCTATCTATCACAAGGGAGACCAGTGGGTTACCGCACTAAGGTACATTACAAATCAGATCCGTGGAAAATCGCCCATATTCACAAAAGGAATTATTGAATTTTTGAGCAACAGAAACACTTGTAATGAATAAATACTAGATGGATATGTTAATGTCATACTATGGAACATTCCAGGCACAGCAATAACATGTCCATGGAGACAAGCAGAAAAGTTGCACAGTGCACCAGACTGGAATATGAACTGTTCAACCAATACAAGAATCCTATGCATTACAGAAAGTGTATGTGGAGGCAGTGTTAGCCGTATTTTTAAGCGAGGATATTTTGTTGTTTGCACAAGAAATTATGTTACTCAAATAATTGCGTCCTTTGCATCCTTTTTTTCACATTTTTAAGAGGAATAACCCCTTAAGATGATTTGGCAACTGATCTAACTGTGATTGTGAATACTGAACTATGCAGCGGCATCATGAACAAAAGGTGTTGAGGATTTGCTATAGTGTGATATAAAGCAAAGTATCAAGTTGCGCCTCAGTAAATGATACCGACTGCAGTTGACGTGTGGCGGTACACTGTAGGTCGGGTCTCGCCTCCTGTTAGCTTCACTGTCCAAGTATACACAACAAAAGGGACTCTATTTAGTGCTTGGACATTGCGCTGTGTATGTCAGCTAGGGGGCGTCACTAATAGATAATAATATCTCAATAACAATATTCAGAATACGGGTGTGCAAAAAAAAATCTACATATAGTATAATTTAATGTGATGATACAGAATTGATATTGGGGGCTGCTGTATCGATATATCTGCAATGGTATTTTTTGGTATATTTAGCTAAATTGTTTTGCTACAATTTTGTTGGAATATGTGACATATTTGACATATTCACCGTTTTGATGATTAAAATGTTTGTGTTTCATATGAACTTTGCACAAGAAGTGGTTTAACAAAGACTTTTAGTATCACAGTCATGATTTAGCCTTTACTTTTTATTGAACCGTATCAAATAGATTTGAAATATAGCATATCGAATCGAAAGTGTACTGAATCGAGATATGTATCATATCGTGGCCTACTGTATATATGGAGGTCTGTATCATATGTATCAGCATCTTTGTAATGATACCCAGCCCTAATTCAGAAGATTATATTTTATTTTTATTATGTATTATATTTATTTTTATCAAGTATGTGCTAAAATGTGCCTGTGAATGTCAAACTATTAATTCTTAATTAATTCTTAAAATCTGATTAGATTATTTAGTGTTCCTTCTTATTGTTACTTCATGTTTATGTGAATACCTCATCAATAATTTTCAGTTCTATTACCGTATTTTTTTAGCTGTTTTGGTATGCTATGGGGGGATAGTCTCTCAGTCTTTATTAATGGGAAAAAAACTGCAAGATGTTTCCGTTTTAAATGTTGCTTTATAGTAGTTTTGTTTCATTTAGAGACAATTTACTTGCATGTCTCTAAAATAACAACTGAGATATTATCTATTTTTCAGTATATCTCTACTAAACCATGCTTAGAAAGGTTAAAACAACTCCCAGTGCACGGCATCTTGAGTTGAACCTCAGATATTCATGAGCGTCTCCTGTTCTCAGACCTCCTCCTCATGACAAGATCAACCTGAAGGTAAAATGCAGAGCAGGCAGCATGTCCTCCCTTCTCCTTGTCACAGTGGCGACTTACTAAGAGCCCCTTTGCCCCTGGGGTCAATCGCCAGCAGTCTGTCAACTTCTCTAGCCTTGAGGCATCTTAGACGTAACCTATAATGCGTCGCACACTGTATCCAGAGATATCAGCGTATTCTCACAATGTCAAAGAGAATGTTATCGGACTCATTCTTAATTTATGTGCACTATCTAAACTTTCTGGTGGAGAGTCTGCCACCTGCTCGTCTCTATGGAGATGTGATTGCTCTGCCTGTAATTCTCCATCTGTATTCTAAGATATAAATTACTTCCTTATTTTCACTCAAATCTTTTTTTTTCTTTTGCTTATTTAGTAATCTGAATTATCACTAGGGGTGTAATGATTTCCAAGTCTCATACGATATCATCACGGCATGAACCTCACAGTACGATATCTATTGCGATATCATAGGAAAGTTCACGGTATTGTGGGGAGGCTCACAATTAAGGATGTAACAGTATCTAAATCTCTTGGTACGATATTTTCACAATATACATCTCACGGTACAATATTTATTGAGATACTTTGTGGAGGCTAACAAAATATGCTACAAAATATGCTACTTTTTCCTTTTAAAATGTCTTGACAAGACTTAATCCAAAGAACTAAGACTTAAAAGTGTTAAGAACTGTTATTTCTTCATGTAGTCTACACTAAAATGGAGCAAAGGATCACGCTCTATGTAGTTCCCTCTGTCTTTTTTAGCTATTGGTGAACTCTTAATTTAAGCAAAGAGACTTGTATTTCGATATATTGTGATGGTCCAACGATATTATTGTGAGAACTTGTGACAGATATGATAACACAATATTTCCGTTATTGTTACATCCCTAATTATCACTATCTATTTTTGGTCTTTATTATATTGTAATGTGTGAGCTATGGTGTCCTTTTGTATCAGTACAGCTTGTCCACGTAAACTTCTCTCCACAAACCACTGATACTAAAAGGCCAAGTTACACGTCAGATCTGTGAAGAGGCGACCTCGCTCATGTTAAGAATGTATGTTTTCCAAGGTACTTTTAGGCAATGAAAACACTTGTAACTGAATAAATGGAAGATGGGCACACTTAATACCAATGGAAAGCAACATCCGCCTGGACACAAGTAAGTGGCAGAACCCTAACAATAAAAACATTACGTAGTGTATCTTTAACATGATATAACAGTAAATACATGACTTCACACCACCTGGTCATTGTTTTTGGTTCAACACGGTTCCACAAGAGCACCCGCAGCAGTCGTGTGGAGAGTGGAGCGTCAGTCTGGTTTAACTAGTTAGTGCAGTGGCATTTGCTCAGAATATTGCACCAACATGAGCCATTTTGAGAAGCCCTTTCCTTGTACAGAAACCAAAAACAACCCAGATAACAGCTCAGGGACTGCTGTTGAAACTCATGTGCATTTTTGTTTTACCTATGCAAATACTGGAAGGTTGGTTTCGGCTGTGACGTCATTTTCACCATTGCTTAGTTAGCAAACAAAGCCAATCCTTAACTCACTAGCAGTGGACTTCTACACCAGTGGACTACAATTTGTTCAATCAAAAACATTTATACAGCTTACCAAAGTATAAGATTCTGTTTGTATTATAAGAGGGCAATATCCATGGGTCATAATGGCCTTTTTTTTTGCCATAGCAATTAACAATAATATAATCTAAATAATAATTAATACTGTGAATGTGGTTTTGAAAATATGCTAAATTTGAATATTGGGGGTATCGTTTATACAAGTTATGTTGTAATTTGTTTTATTTACAAAATCTTTCAAACAAGGGTACATGTGATATTTGTGCACTTTTGTGGGTAATTTTTACGTCTCTCTGACATTTGAACCTCAACTCATACATTTATTTTTAGTAGTACACAATTGTTTCTATGTATTCAAAGCATCTAAACAGACCAGTGACTTTCCCATAAAAAGAACGCCGCTCTACAGCCAAGAGGAAGGTTACGAGTCAGTTTTTAGGAGGATTACATGAAAACAGCCAGGAAGGTCAAAGGTCACGTGATACAATGCATTTCAACAGCGCACAGAGAGATAAGCCTTTTAAAAGAGGCTCTGTGCATCGGCTTCTGTGGAGAGACCAGGCACTCACTCACTCATGATAATTACTATAACAACTTACCGTTCAATAAAGACGGAACAGTATATTTTTGGGGTCAGTATTTATCGTGTGTACATTTTCTTTGCACTATTGTGAAATTTTTGGTTATTTTTTGACTAAATGATAAGATGTAGAGCTGTAGAAGGTTGAATTAATAACTTCTACTTCATTACAGATGCTAAGTACTTAAATGTTTAATTCTACTGTTTATTTATTGCAGCACATACTCTTTTTTATTTTTTTTAGCAATATTGTACATTTAGTTTCAAGATTATTGTTTAACATCTATATTTACTTCAGTAATATATCGAACTTCAAAATGTTTTATGGTGACAGGCCTACTCACCCATCACAGTGAGCAGTGTCTTCTTGCTGCGGATGCCTGGAGCCTTCTTCACTTTGCACTGGTACGTTCCGGAATCTGAAGACTTCAGGCCTGTGAGGCTGATGGAGGCGTCACCATTTTTGGGGTCGGGTGAGTTGAAGTGCACCCTGCCCTTCATGGGTAGGTAGTAGTCCTCGTAAGCCCTGTCACCCGAGTATAACAGCACCTGGAAGATTAAAGGGAGAAATGATTGGGAATGATGTACAGTACAACATGTGATGTACCAATGTGTATTTGGTGAATTCTAATATTTCACAGTGAAAGATACAGGAATATATTCAACTCAATACTCCATACAACTGTACAGCACGTCACCCTTGTAGAAATAGAAAACACTATGTCAATGACTATTGTGTTTCTTCTTACCTACCTCGTGTATAGCCCAGATATATTTTGTATAACTATATTTCTATATTTTATTTTTACTTGTACAGTTGTATTATAATTACACCTTATCTGACACCAGTAACTTAATTTGAATGCATTATTATCATTTATAGTTTATATTTAGAAGTATAAGTCCAAGCTCCTGGTTGGGCAGTAGATATGACAAGCATAACATAAACATGGGCCCAGACTTATCTAAATAAATGACAACACCTTTATTTTGTTAAATGGACGTTCAAGAAAAATGCCTTCCCTGCATGTAAATTTTGGTTCTGATGTCATGGAGGTAGCTTGTTTTAGATCTCACTTCTACTTCCTGCATGTTTCTTTTCCATTAACTGCCACTTAACTGGTGTAAAACTACAATAAAAAGTTTACACACACCAACTATCGACTATATCACTAAACTAGGGCTGGGAATCTCTTGGTTCTTCATGCTTCAATACGATACTCGATATATATGGCTCACCATACGATATCACAATATGGTGAGATAACGAATATAGCTAATGATTTTCTGAAATATATCACTATTTTTAAGAACCAAATATATTTTAACAACTGTATTTCTTTGTTAAACCACTACATGTAAGTCAATATGGAATAAACCAGTTGTAGCTATTAAACATGAATAAGTGTATTGCATGAAAAAGTTTAAAAATCAAAATTGTAACACTGTCACAAAATAATTTTAAAATATATCAAAAAATCATCTTGGCCACATATTGATAGAGCAGCCCACGATAATGTATCACCAAATTTAGTATCACTATAAATTGATAGTTCAATATTTAGCACACCTCTACACCGAACCGAAGTAATAATTTGAAAAACATGAAAAAAAACACCCTTGAAGTGACCATAGTGAGCTCTTGCAAAACAAAAGGCTGCTTAATAAACTATGTATAAAATAGCACTGTTTATTTTTACAATGTCCTTGAGTATGGCCCCTGCACTGCTTTGCTCTTTCTTTGCGTAAGGAGAATGAAGAAGGGACAAACAATGCAGCCACTGTGCGGCTAAATCAACACCTGCTGTGTCAACAGAGACCAGTGACCCTACACACAAACTCCTCCTCCTGCAGGAAAAGGTCTAATGAAGAACAGGTGAAACCAAGAGAATCTACATCCACAATCAGGTCGGCACAGAGAGAATCAGGAGGGATGGGGCCATGATCAGTGCCAGGAGTCTGTTCAGCAAAAACCTTGGCTAGAAAAGTAAATAAACTGAAGATGACAGGGTTGTTAAATAAATCAGATAAAAATTGATAATAAAATAATAATTTACACTAGATAGTAATATGTGAGTATTTTCCTCTGCCTGTTGACACTGCACTCACCATGACTTATAGTAATAATACTAAACATGCAAGGGGAAAAAAAATATTTGTTAGACCTAGGGTGGCTGACTATTTCCATTTAATCCAACCTTGATTTTCAATTCCATTAAAAATATATATAAATAAGGCTGTTAATAATAAGCTTTATGAGAAGATGGCTAAAGCAACAAAATGAGCTTTCCACTCCAATGCCATTTAATACACAAAAATATCCAATTTATGTCTCTGAATCCAAACCACATCCACCACAGTATTGACTGAATTGTTCAGTATATGAAAGCTGGAACAATATATTTTGGGTCTCAATATTGCTCATGGTTACAATTTCTTTGCAAAGTGAGGAGATTTTTGTCGTTTTTATGTAATAAGGTAAGATTTGTGCTGAAAAGGGTAGAATAAATAACTTCTTTGAGTAATTACTGGTTCAGGCTGCCATGTATTAGTTTCAGTTTAGGCCTTTTAATGACAAAGCATATTTAAAAATTGGTTTACTGGGATTAGCGTGCTTTGGGTTAATGGCATAAAGTAGGTTCAATCGTAGTAGGTATTATTGTTTATCGTCTATTGTTTCTTAAGCAATATATCATGCTTCAAAGGTTGTTATCATGACAGGTCTACACATACTTATACTGCCAAACGACCTTCACCAATCAGATGACAACTTCATAAAAAATATGAAAAAATTAGAGCCTAGAGATGGGTGCATTGAAGGAGAGGGAGCAGCCCCAGAACATGGAGAAAAATCCCGCACACACTGTTTGCCTGACGAAGGCCTAGTGCCGAAACATTGCACGGTTTGTCCTAATAAATTTCACAATTTTCGAGTAAGACGGTGTACGGGATTTTTCTCCAACTTCATAAAAAAAAAAAAAATAGCCAAGAAAAAGTGGCGCTGCTAAACAGTTGGTCATTGGGACTCAAATTCTCGACTTACAACTCGACTGGTCTCAAAAACAGGTGTGGTCTCAATAGGAAGCGCTCCCATCTTGAGCATATTAGCCATGTTAACAAGTAATAGGGTTAAAATTCTTCTGTTCTCAAGGGAACACAAACCTCACCTGGGATCGCAACATCAGCAATAACAACAGTGATATGTCAAAGCCGACCAAAGCGAGAAGGAAATTAAATTGCCCCAAGCTCAGTCAGACAAGTCTCACACACATGCGCACGTTTAACTACAAAATACTACTATAATGCAATAACCTTGAAAACTGTGATTCAATAGAAAAAAAGCATTTGAATAACCTGGGGAGTGGAAATGAAAAGGGCAAGAGACTAGACAAGCTGGTGAGGCATAGGACACAGAGGAGCAGTGTCTGTGTGCGTACTTTAATAACAGGGAGGACACAGTAATATAATCGGCAGCACCTGGACTTAAACACACACTGCACAGCTATAGAGCAGATTGGGGGTTTGCAGATTTTAGAATGTGTTCATGTCATACACTCATATAAGGGACAAGACACAGTTTTCATATGCATTATAAAATTAAATGCAATTAGCAAATCTGTAAGGTTGCCGTATTTTAATTACCATAATTTTCTACACAAACAACAAAATATCCTGCATAAAACTGCCAACTTGGGGTGTAACGATATCCAAGTCTCACGATACGATATCGTCATAGTATGAACCTCATGGTACGATATTTATTGCAATATCGTGGGAAAGCTCATGATATGGTGGGGAGGCTCACGATTAGGGATGTAACAATATCCAAATCTGCTGGTACAATATTTTCACAATATAAATCTCACGGTATATTTATTGCAATATTGTGGAGGCAAAAGAAACAGAAAATGCACACCAAAATTCCTGTAGAGGTGCAAATGCAAGGAGCAGCCAGACAAGAGTGAAAAAATGCATAGCACACTCAGATGGCCGATGTCCAAAAGCTTTTCCATTTTCAAAATAACGTTTTGGCAAAAAAAATCCTTTATCAGATACCTTTCTTGCCCTCGTGTGCTGTGGTCCAGGGCAAGAAAGGTATCTGATGAAGGCTTTTTTTTGCCAAAACGTTATTTTGAAAATGGAAAAGCTTTTGGACATCGGCCATCTGAATGTGCTATGCATTTTTTCACTCTTGTCAATATTGTGGAGGCTGACAAAACTGTTAATATGCTACTTATTCCTCTTAAAACACCTTGACAAGACTTAATCCAAAGAACTAAGGCTTAAAAGTGCTTAGAACTGCTATTTCTTCATGTAGTCTACACTGAAATGGAGCAAAGGATCATGGTCTATGTAGGTCCCTCTATCTTTTTTTAGCTATTGGTGCACCATAACTCTTCATTTAAGCAGAGAGACTTGTAATTCGATATATCGTGGTGGTGCATGATATTATTGTGAGAACTTTGACGATAAATCATGCCATTCTAGTATTAGTTTGTAAGTCTTTTTCAGTCTTGTTTCAGTCCTTTGTAAACCGCAAATCTAACTGCAATGCTTATCAGAAAAAAAACAATTTGAAACTTTTCTCAAATCATTTATTACATTTCCATGAATATCTAAAAGGTAAAATCATAAATGTAGAACCTGATCATTTCTGTTTTCAAGACTTCGCTGCTTTTTCATAGTAAGTTTAGCTTCCTTGCCAATCTGTCTTAAATATTATTATTAGCCTATAAAATTATCTAAAATCCAGCAATAGATAAGATTGTACATTACCATGAATACCTAAAAGGAAAATTCATAAATGTTGAACCCGATAATTTCCATTTTTGACATCTGAAACCCAGCAATTCATCTGATGCGTGTAAAATACAGGAGGAGGTGGGGTGATTTGAGAGGCAAAACAGAGAGCTCTGATCCCACTGTACTCCAAAGCACCTGTCAGGCAGCCCAGTCTGATCTGTGCTTTTAACTGGAGTGCTCCAATGCCCTCACAATAACAGCCCTGCCTCCAGCTGCTTTTAAGGTAAGAACAAAACAAAAGTCAAAACAGAAAGAGTGTCCTTCATGGTGACAAAGAACGTAACCAACCATGGCCACAGTTTGTGCTTGGTTTAATCGAGTTTATACACAATACATTTTATTGAGCTGTCAATGCCAAGGTGGCTCTCTAATGTTCGCTGTCAATATGGTTTTCAATAGCTTCGGCAAACAAAGCTGCCTGCAGATGCGCTCAAGGACAAAAGACGCAGCTTTGTGGAGCTACACAACAGCAAGTTTCATTTACTTCTAGTTAGTTACATGCTTTTTCATAGAAGTTAACTTTTGTTTTTAATACCGGTTTGATTAGTATTTGATTAATATTGTTCTTGCTAGGGATTTTATGAGCAGATACTGATAGTTAATACCAGCTTTTAAAATTCATCGTAGGCCCATAAATATTCATAAAGATTTTTGTTGTATCTAGGGTACTTACTGCCATCTCAGTTCTTGTTATATTGGTCTATGTCATCAGAGATTTAATACTCCCTACAGCGGAAGTATAGCCACACTGTACTGTACTGTACTAGACTGGAATGGACAACACTATCATGTCTTGAGGGTTTGGGTGCTGGGTCCTGGACTGATGGTAAATTAAATTCTCTCTAGCATCAGGTCTCTTATCTTTAACTCTCAGGCTACTACAATTTATTTTACAACAAATATCATAAATTCACTTTTCACTTTTGTAAAAAAAATAAAATAAAAAAATCACAAAATACATTTTACTGGGATATGAAATCATTTGTTGCATGCATGCATAAACATACAGCCATATTTTAACACCAATTGCTCTTCTATTTCAAAGCTTACACATTTGCTACACTGAGCCAATCTGGAAATGACATGGGCGCATACAGACCAGGGCAGCACTGAAGAGATATAGTATCAGCTGTTTCCTCCGATATCAGCCAATACTTATATTGAAGCCGATATATCGACTATCCCTATAGTTCTCACAGATCTACTGAAGTCCCGAGCTCCTTCCCTCTTGTCACCTAGAAGCCAAATGCAACTGAGTGATACCATCGGCATGTCTGGCATCTCTCAACAAAGCACTGGGCATTAGCTGTGCTTCAGCCAGACCTGCTGTGGGATATTTCCAAATATATGAATAACTGGGCTCTGCAGGGGTATTAACTTCAATTGCATCAGTACATACTATTACATGAATGATGAAATTTCCATACACCCACACTGAAGATGTGCGAACTGGGACCATGCCTATGTATGACCTTGTGGATAGGCCCTCAATGATCGCATCTGTAGTCTCACTGGCTGCCTTTCTGAACTCATCTCGAAGTGAGAAACAGGTAAGGTGATAAAGTGTAGCCCTGACCTGAAGATCTGAACACTACAAGCCTATTCCAGTGGTTCTCAAAATGGGGGCCACAAAGCAATCAATTCAGTTATTTAAATCTGTGCACTGTAGTGGTGTAGTGACAAATAGGAGAAAATAATAAATTATTAAAATAAACATAAAAAAAACCTGATTCAACACATTTTCCTCCATTACCCTTCACAATTTAATTTTATAGTTAAGGTCTCAGCTTCCAGGATTCATTTGGAATTACTTTGAGAACCCCTGTACTACTGTACTGAACACCAACACAAGTAATGAGCAAATGCTGTATAATACTTACATACAGTGTTATGAGTGTGACGTGAGTTTGGTTATGGGCTATTCAAATGTGAATCTGGCCATTTAAGCTCTGAAAGGTCAAGGAGAACAAATGCGTTCAAGCCAGAGATGTCCAAGCATTTGCATTTATAGATTCAAGTGTTTGGCAACAATAACAAAGTGCTTCAGGAAAATTATGCATTGTGCATATTTAACTAGATGCTTTGTGGTTGTGGATCAAAACAACATGATGGCGTGAATAAAAGTCATAATCAGTAACAAACTAGGTCAAAAACATTGAATGGTGGTTTCACAGGTACATCAAAGTCCACTACCTAAAAGAGAAAAGTAACAACACTAAAGCATTACTGGATAAAACCATAGTCAAATGAAGCTTACAGAGGCTTGCAGTTATGGGGCAAATTTGGAAGAGTTTCAAATGAGGAATAGGAATGAATTATTTTTTAACCATTTAATTATTAATTGAAATTAATCGGACAAAATAGCTAAATAAAACCACCAGGATCATGTACAGCAGGTTATGAACATTTTATGACCAAAATGAGGAGCCTGACAGTAGCAGTTACAGCTAAAGTGTTGACAGCTTCTCAATACAAAATGAAATGAAGCCTAAGGCGGTGGAGCCAGAAGCACCACTATGCTCACTTCCAATTTGAAACACAGCAGTTAGCAGGCTAGCTATGTCCATTTGTCTATGGATAAAACATGTTCATTTGGTAACAAAGTTGGGCTAAGATTTTCAGAGACTATAAACCCTACAAATATTGTGTAGCCCAGTGAACCTATAGTGAATCTTTAGCATGTGAAGTCCCTGAGGCGGGGAGGATCCTGCTGGCTCAGTGAGCTCTCATGAGATCCCTCCCTATGGCTGCAGGCCAGACTGGTAACATTGCACAGGCAATAAAGATCCATGTCCTAATACTGTTTATCTGTGAGAACACTGCACAGAGCTCAGAATACAAGTAGAGAGGATCAGATTACTTTTGCTTTTAGTATCCCACAGTAGCTCCCGTGAGTATAGGGCTTAGGTTTAACTAAGGCTGACATGCACTGTATTAACCTTATGTTTAGAGTTGTCAAAAAAAATCTATATACGATAATAAAACTAGTACAGAAATTAGATACTCATTTGAGTAGTTATCAACACTAAAAAGTCACAGGACAGAAACAAACCTTTCCTGAATAGCTTTCAAATGATCTTGAGCTGTATCAGAGCAAGTATAAGAGCACATAGACTAGTATACGCCCATGGGAGCACTACTTAGATTAAAACATGATGTCACAGAAGGCCTCATGGTAATATAAAAGAAAGTACTATGATTTAATGTTGAAAATAACACTGTATTGTAAGTAAAGAGTGTTTATTATCATTGTGGTGTTGGAATCAGTATTGACTATCAGAGAGTCTATTCCTTAGTACCAAAATTGAGTTTGAAATGTTAGTATTGTGACAACACCCCTTATGTACAATGTTTTAGATGGTAGTAGGTCAGAAAGGCAAAATTCACTCAGTGTGTGAGAGTGTGGTTGTAACATACCACTGTGTCCTCTCTTTGGTTGTCAGGGGCTCTTAAACTCCACTCAATGTCCAGAGGCCCCGTGTCCTCAGGGGCCAGAGTGAACTGACAGTCCAGCTTTGCACTCTCTCCACTGGCCTTCTGTATGGAGGGCGGCCCTGTGGACGTGATCTCCAGACCAGACACCAAACCTGCACACAAAGCATAACAGATTCATTAATTAATCACCAATTTAACGTTAACAATATAAAAGGTAAAATAGAGCTGGAATGGGACGATATAAAAATTTTGTGTCACGATTATCATGGCAAAAATAATTGCGATTAATGATTATGTCATGATAACTATTAAAATTGTAACAGATAAAAAATGAAAGATATTAATAATTAGAATTTGAATATTTTGAATTAGTTACATCGTTAAACAGTAATATTATAATACTGTACTTTGAAAGTGAAAGTAAAAATAACAATGATCTAGAAGAAAACATCATGGACACAGATTTTTTCTGCACATTCTGGTGAGAAAATGGTGATTATCTTTGTTGGTTTTGTATCATTATCCTGTCTTTTTTATAGAGAAAATACAACATTGTGACACATGAAATCTGATGTCCTGTTTGTAATAACACTTAACAGATCAAAGTTTTAGTAAGCTGTCACAGTGTTTGCTTCAGTCTCTCATAAAAAAACACACCAGTTACAACATGGCGTGAAGTGCTTTTTCAATGTTGCATGATGCAAAGCACTTGAATTAGAATTAGGGTTGACAAAAGTATTGAAAATCAGATACTAAATCGATACTAAAACTAGCACAGAAACTATATACGCAGGTATTGATACTAAAACATCACATTAGCGGCACAGAAATTAACCTTTCCTGATTAGTTTTAGAATGATCTTGAGCTGCATCAGAACAAGTATAAGAGCACATAGACTCGCATACGGCCATGGACCATGATGGAATCTACCTGGACAACTAACTGACGGACTACACAGATATAAGAGAAAGTACTATTATTTAAGGCTAAAAATCTACAGTTTTCTAAAGAGTATCTAAAGAAAGTGTTTTTTGTAATCATGGTCAAATCAGAATCGGTACCGAGTACTGATTCTATTCCTCAGTATCGAAAGAAAGTTTGAAAATTTTGGTATAGCAAGAATTAAACTAGTAAAGAGCACAGTATATGACAGGCAAAATCATGGTAATTGTGAACACTAATCTGCTGACAAATTTAAAGCAGGGCAGATTTTCAATGCTTTTATTCCCAAAACAGATGTATGATTTCCTGGTGTCACGGGCAGGATTCAGAGGCTCCATTGACGGGGTTTAGCGGCGGTGAGGAGCACAGTCTATAGAGAATGGAGTTGTCACACGCTGCCTTGACACATTACAGTCCCTCTGACAGGCTCACACTACAACAGCCAGCCGAGGGGAGCAGAAATAGTGCAAATGATGTTACTGGAAAAATAACACTGGATATGTGCATCACAACAAGTGTAGTAATAGTTTTGTGTGTAAATGTAAGGCTGCAATGATTAATGACTCTGTATAATTCTGTGTAATTATTGTAACAATGTATTTTTTATCTCCTACAATGTTGGGATTATAAGTTTGTGTTGCTCAATTATGAAAAAAATGAAAGAATGATTAATGTAGTATTGTCAAAAGTGTCTAAAAATATGTAGAAGAGCTATTTATTTATGGGTAATTTATTTATTTTTATATTTTTGCTCGTGATGTGTGAGCTACTATGTCCAAATTTCCCTTGTGGACCAATAAAGTTTGTCTAAGTCTAAGCCCACAAGAGCCCACATCATTCAGAACAGAACTGACAGGAAAAATAAATTCAAAATAAGTTTAAAATTAGCATAATTTTGTTTTTCACATTTTTAGGATAGTAAAAAAGCACATTTAATTACACATCCCAATATTAAGTAATACAATATTTAACTCCCACAGGCCTCAGGACAGAGAGGGCGACTCAGAGCAACAAGTCACACTCCCTCTGTGCTTTCCTCTTCTGCTCTCAAACGCACCACAAATGAGAATAAATCCAGAGGCAGTGGTCAGTCACACCCACTATTGTGCACAGTCTGGGCCTATAAGCTCTCCAAAGCACTGGATAACCTGTCTGCAGTGGTGGTGTAAGGTCATTACAAATACTCTAATACTATAATTGATTAGTTTTTTTGGGTTATTGTTTTGTTTGTTTACTGTGAGTAGACTCATGTCACGTGTATTTGCGAATGTAGCTGGTTCCATTCAAGAGAAATGTCCTAAGGTACAGTTTTCTCACCACAGTCTTTTTTATAAAAGGGTGACCTAAATGCTTCTCAAATTATTATTAAAAATTAACTATTAGTACTTTGAGTAGTTTCATGCATACTTTTTTCTTTTACCTTAAGGTTCACTTCATAACATTTCTAGTGAAGGGTCTGCCACCTGCTTATCTCCGTGAAAATTAGGGGTATAACAATATCCAAGTCTCCCAATACGATATCTTCACGGTTTGAACCTCACGGTATGATATTTATTGCGATATCGTGGGAAATCTCACGATATGGTAGGGAGGCTCACGATTAGGGATGCAACAAAACCAAAATCTCTCTGTATGATATTTTCACAATATCTATCTCACAGTATGATATTTATTGCAATATTTTGTGGAGGCTAACAAAACTGTTAATATGCTACTTTTTCCTCTTAAAATGCCTTGACAAGACTTAATTCAAAAAACTAAGACTTAAAGGTGCTTAGAACTGTTATTTCTTCATGTAGTAGCAAAGGATCATGGTCTATGTAGTTCCCTCTGTCTTTTTTAAACTATTGCTGCACCATAACTTTTAATTTAAGCAAAGAGACTTGTAATTCGATATATTGTGATGGTCCACGATATTACTGTGAGAACTTTGACGATACAATATCACGATATTTTGGTTATTGTTACATCTCTAATGGAAATGTTATTGCTTTGTCTTGAATGTTCCAGAGTATGGATTAAACCTTTCATGAGGGAGACAAGCAGGCACGCTACATTACAATTCAGATCTGTGGAGAGTCGGTTCCTTTCACAGAAGGAATTATCGTATTGTATGTTGTGTGTTTTGAGCAATAGAAACAACCATAAAGAATAAATGCTAGATGGATATGTTTAAAGTCATACCATGAAACATTCAATACAAATAAATACAATGCTGGCAGCACAACAATACCGATCGAGTACATCTTAAGCCGTTTAACTAAGCATTCAAATACTCTTTCCACCATTACTCGTATGTGGTCCTCAGTGCTGCAGCTGTTTGAATCGGCCCACAGGTTTTGACAGACGGCCCTGATGAGCGCGTGATCCGTAGCCACGAGCAAAAGCAAGAGGAACGGCGAGCAATATACAGCGGGGCAAGACGTGTCCATCACTGTCACCACGGATACCGGGTCTGGCATGTGCATGACGGAAAGCTCTGTCAATTCATCAGGCGCTTAAAGGAGCCGGGCATTTTTCAAAGTTGCATTTAAAAAGATGAAAATTGTCTCGCCAAAGAGAAAGTACTGGACTGGAGGCGTTCATCAGGCTGAGTGAATGTTGGTGTGACAGGCTGTGAGGGACATTGTCAGATGTAGCTGTTAGATCAATGGCAGTCAAGAGGCATTTGTTTAAATTACACTTCAGCCAGCGGGACATTACGTTTAGTGGTTAGCCGGTGAGTGGGAAACATACAGTCGTGTCAGCAAGGGAGAAAGAAGTACAGATATATTGGGCAGACGTAGTACCTATCACAAAAATATCTGATGATACGATACCATAATAATACCATAACCGATATTGTAACATACTCAATATAATGCAATACACCAAGGTTCTCCATCCATCTCCAAGCTGATTTTATTAAACTTCCTTAAGTCTGTCTCCATTTTTATTTTGACAGTTTCACTCACAAATTAAAGCATATATTATTATTATTAGTTTTATTTATTATAACTGAAATGACTGAATCAAAAAGTATACTAATATGTCACAATAATAGTGATATTGCCGTTCTTAAACAGTCCTATCGCATATAGGTACAGATGATCAAAAATTACTACAAAAGCAAGAAAATGACTAGTTAAAAAGTAAAAATGAAAAGTAAAAGCATGTGTCACATTAGTCCATTTTATCGAATGATTTGTTTATGAAAATTGCTGGGTGTTTAAGCAGTCTTCCACAAAAAAACAAAAAATTCTCTTCAAATTTTAGTACTGTAATTGCAAGAAGAAACATTACAATTTAACGATTATTCACTGTAATTAAAACAGTGAAATCCTCTTTCATATTGTCCATCAAGTATATGACCCACATCATGAAATCATAATTTAAAGTAAAGTTATTGTGACAGTTTACATTTAGGTTTACTTTTTGGGCTGTAGATTAAATTGAAATGACGTATAGTTGTTTCTAAAATTATCTCTTTTTTGTTACTTTTTTACAATTATAGTACAATCTGAATAGTAACAATTTTCACGTTACTTAAGCTTATGTATTCGTTGTAAATTCTAATGAGAATGCTGCAATCTGAAGGCAAACAAGTAAGCAATAATGTAACATGCAAATTGAAAAAACACATTTGTACCAACTCCCTGGAGTCCAGTTGGAGTAATTATCCAGCAGTTTTCATTTTGGGGATTAAAGACACCCAAAACTGATTTCAAAACAATAGTCTAGCTCTGGATTAATGAGGAAATAAGCACATAGGCCTGTACAGCCAAATGAATGATTACAACAGAAAAGGCCAGCTTACTCATTCTCCAACACAAACAACACTGCTGCTAGCGGCTAATCATTAACAGTCAACATTAAGTAAGCCTGCCCTGCAATAATGTTAGCTAGCTCAAAGTCTGCCACCGCCCGCTGCATGTGTGTACCAGACAAGCTTTATTTAGAGTAATGGCACTGCTGTGTAAATGGGCCTTCCTCTGCAGCTAATATAATGAGCTGATAAGGGATGCCATTAGTAGTGTCCAAGGATAGCCATGAAAAATAGTGAGTCATTTCTATTTGGTGAATAGAAAGTAGGACTGCACTAACTTTCAGTAGTCGACACGTCTGGTTTAACTAGATGGCAACATGAAAAAAATAATCACACAGGCTATATAAAGACTTGGCCTAAGGGAATGTGATGTCACCCATAGCCTTTGGTTCCAGCCAAATAAA